AAGTGGGAAAAGAGCTGTTACATTGTGGGGAATTGCAGTCCATGTCATGAGACAAAATGTGTATGAACTGCTGTCTGGAGAATGAATTTGCTCTGTAAACTTTCATCCAAATCACAATGAAAATTAAAAAAGAAGAAAGAGATCCTTTGCAGAAGTTTACCCAATGCTATACATCATTTGATTTCTTGTCTGCTGCTTTCACGGGTATGAATTGTGAATTTAGTAAAATTAAATCCTTGACAACTTCAACATTTTCTCCATTTATCATAATGTTGCTTATAGATCCAGTTGTGAGGATTTGTGTTTTCTTTATGTTGAGCTGCAAACCATACTAAGGTTGTAGTCATTAATCTTCAGAGACTCTCCACTTTCAGCTAGCAAGGTTATGGCATCTACATATCATAGGATGAGCCTTCCTCCAATCCTGATGCCACATTCTTCTTCATATAATCCATCTTTTCAGATTATTTGCTCATACAGATTGAATAAGTATAGTAAAACAATACAGCCCTGGTGGGCATCTTTCTTGGTTTTAAACCATGCAGTATGTCCTTATCCTGTTCAAATGGCTGCCTCTTAATCTATGTCTATATGAGCACAAGTAAGTGTTCTCAAATGCCCATTCTTCACAATGCTATCCAAAATTTAAATGTTGAATGTCTTTGTATAGCCAATAAAATACAGGTAAACATCATTCTGGTATTCTTTGCTTTCAGCCAAGATCTCTCTGATATCAGCAATGATATCCTTTATCTCATGTCCTCTTTTCAGTCCAGCTTAAATTTCTGGCTATTTCATGTTGATGTACTGCTACAACTCTTTTTGAATTATCTTCAGCAAAACTTTACTTGTGTGTGATAATAATGATATTCAGTACTTTCCACATTCTGTGGAATGGTCTTTATTTGAAATGGGCACAAACATTGGTATATTCCAGTCGATTGGCCAGGTAATTGTCTTCCAAGTCTCTTGACATAGACTACTTAGCACTTCCAACTTTGCATACATTTATTGAAGATTCTCAATGGAAATTCCAACAATTTCTGAAGTTTAGTTTTTCACCAGTGCCTTCAGTGCAACTTGGACTTCTTCTTTCAGTACCATCAGTTCTTGATCATATGCTAACTCTGAAATGGTTGAACATTAACCACTTATTTTGGGTACAGTGACTGTGTTTATTCCTTCACCTTCTTTTGCTGCTTCCTATGCTATTCAATATTTTGCCCACATTGTTGTTGTTAGGTGACATCAAGTCGATTGTGACTCATAGCGACCCTACGTACAATAGAACAAAACACTGCCCTGTCCTGCTCCATCCTCACAGTGTTTGCTGTGCTTGAGCCCGTCATTGTGGCCACTGTGCCTGTCTAACTCACTGAGGCTCTTCCCCTTTTTCTCTGACCCTCCGCTTTACCAAGCATGGCATCCTTCTCCAGGGACTGGTCCCTTCTGACCACATGACCAAAATAGGTGAGGCGAAGTCTGGCCATTCTCGTTTTCAAGGAGCATTCCAACTGCACTTCTTCCAGGGAGGATTTGTTCCTTCTTCTGGCAGTCCATAGTACTTTGCCCATAGAATCCTTTGCAACTCAGGGCTTGACTTTTTCTTCAGTTCTTTCTGTTTAAGAAATTCTGTGTGTCCCTCTCATTTGGTTTTCTAACTCATGTTTTTGCACATTTCATTAAAACATTTTACTTGGTCTCGAATCAACTTTGAAATCGTCTCTTCAGCTCTTTTACTTCATCATTTCATCCATTTTCTTTAGCTACTCTATGTTTGGCCTGGAAATCTTGGATTCGTCATTCTTTGGAGTCAATAGCCAGTAGACTGCCTGCCAGCTTTGAGCTCATCAGCCTCTGCAGCTGTGTGAGTCGGGAAAAGCCTCGAGCTTGATGTTTGATCCAAGAACTTGGGACTTGCCAGCTTCTATAAGTGTGTGAGCCATTTTCCTAAGATAAATTTCTCTTTCTCTCTCTCTCTCTCTAAGCTTTACTGGTTTTGTTTCTCTATAGAACCCAGTCTAACACACTATCTTAACCATTTTTAGGTATAAAATTCAATAACATTAATTACATTAAACATGCTGTGCTACCAGCACCAATGTCCATGTCCAAAGGTTTCTCAGGACCTCAAATAGAAACTCAGTATTTCTTAAGCAAATTCTCATTCCCTCTTCCCCATCCCATAGTAACTAACAATAAACTTTTGTCTCTGTACCTTTGCTTCTTCTAGATATTTCATAGAAATGGGATTATACAATATTTTTTCTTTTGTGTTTGATTTCTTTCATTCAGTATAATGTTTGCAAGGGAGCTCTGGTAGCATAGTGCCTAAGGCATTTGACTGCTTACCAGAAGGCTGGTGGTTCAAACCCACCAGCCACTCCCCAGAAGGAAGGTTGGGCAATCTACTTCTGTAGTGATACTGCCTCAGAAACCCAAGGAGGGGTCGCTATGAGTTGGGTCCAACTCGACGGCACATAACAACAACAACAACAACATGTTCAAGAGCAAGTTTCAGAATCTCTTATAACATCCACTTTGGTACTTTCTTTCATTCTTGTCTTTTTAATGACTTTTGCTTTCTTTGTGTATGACAAACTCGATTACTTCCCACAACTCATCTGGTCTTCCGTCATTACCATTCAGTGCATCAAATCTATTCTCAAGATGGTCTCTGAATTCTGGTGGAATACACTCACTGGTGCACTTTGTCTCTTCTGAACTTGTTTTTATTTTCTTCACCTTCAAATTGAACTTGCATATGAGGCAGTGATGGTCTGTTTCACAGTCAGTTCCTGGCCTTTTCCTGACTGATTAAAAATGCTTATTTGGTAAGAACATGGGACAAAGGACAGGACAAATGAGAAAATGAAGGAAATAAAACTTTTCACATATACCTTTTCAGCTGATTGATCCTTCGAAACTTTACTAAAGTAACTAATGGTATGGGATATTCTGAGCATAAAACAATGAAAATAATCAAAAGAAAAAGTTGGTAGATTTTACTATATATAAATGTAAAGTCTTTAAATATTGAAAATGTTGTACATGAGATTCAAAGCCAGTTAAACATGGAAACATCATCTTCATTTAATGAGTAAATAAATAAGTTGAAAAAATAAAAATTAGACCATGAGATGCATATCACATTTGTCAAGTGTATTTAACTTTGCATTTTAAAATTGCTTGGTAAAGTAGAGGGTCAGTGAAAAAGGGGAAGATCCTTATTGAGATGGATTGACACAGTGGCTGCAACAATGCGCTCAAGCGCAGTAAGGATTGTGCGGAAGGCACAGGACTAGGCAGTGTTTTGTTCTGTTGTACATAGATGAGGTTGCTATGAGTCAGAACGGACTTGATGGAGCTTAACAAAAACAACAATATTTTAAAACAATTTATGAGTTATGAAAATATACCATAATAGTACAAAAATTCTATATACTCTTAATCCATATCACAAATGTTAGTGTTTTGCTACATTTTTCTTATCACTCATTCTCTTAATAGATTTTTTTTTTCTGAAATGGCTAAGCTAAGTGTTCAACATAATGTCTCTTTACTGCTAGACCCTTCAGTGAGTAATTCCTAAAACCAAAGACATTCCCTGACATAGTACAGTACAATTATCAAAATCAGGAAACTAGCAATGATGCATCTCCATTATCTGCTCTACAGAACTTTTGGCCCACTAATGCCCTGATCCAATCCCAAATCACTCCTTCAATCTGAAATAGTTTTTCAATCTTTCATTGTCTTTCATGACCTTGACACTTTTCAAGAGTTAAAAAACAAGCAAATACTAGTCGAAGCCAGTCCAACAAATTGCAACCCATGGGTTTCAAAGTAAAACTGAATTGTTAGGGCATTCCATGGTTGTGATCATCCAGAAATACATCACCAGGCCTATTTATGAGGTGCCTCTAGGTAGATTCAAACTGCCAATTTTTCAGTTAGTAGCCAAGCATATAGACCAGTAATCTGTTGCAAATGTCCTTCAATTTAGGTTTGCCTAATATTTTATAGATTAGACTCAGGTTATATATTTTTGGCTAGAATATCACCTCTGGTGGCATAGTGCCTAAGGCACTTGACTGCTAACCAGAAGGCTGATGGTTCAAATCCACCAGCCACTCCTCAGAAGGATGATTGGGTAACCTACTTCCATAGTGATACCGCCTCAGAAACCCAAGGAGATGTTGCTATGAGTTGGACCTGACTCAACAACATTATATTAGGAAGTATTCAGTATCCTTTACAACCTTGATCCACTGTTTGAGTTGTGTTTTCCAGTTTCCTCTATGGTAAAGTTACAGTTTTCTCTAGTGAGGAGGTATTATGGAGTCCATAGGCACACAAATAGCTAATTGATCAACTGTTAACAAAAAGGCTGGTAGTTTGAATTTACCCAGAAGTGCTTCAGAAGAAAGACCTGGGATCTGCTTCTGATAGATCGCAGCCTTGAAACCCTATGGAGCACACTTTTACCCTGCAACACGTGGGCTGCCATGAGTTGGCGTCAACTGGACAGGAATGGTTTGGTTTGGTTGGGTGGGGAAGACACTTTGTCTATGTAAATATTCTATTTCTAATCCAAAAAGAAAAGGAAAAAAACTTAATGACAGTACTCCATTCTGTAGAGAGTACTCTGACAGGGAAAGGAAATTGTCACAACCATTCTGGGAATCAATTTAACACTATCTATCAAAATCTTTAACACAGTAAACTCACTATATGAAGTGAGACTAAAAAAACCAAAAGTATAATTAAAGATTTCTATTCGAGAATATTTGCCACAGTGTTATTTATAGTAGTAAAAAATTATACCTAAACATGTAACAACAGAAAAATTACTAGTTAAGTTATGGTATATACATAAGAGAATATAAAATAAGCTTTTTGAAGATAAAGCTAGAGTTATGGGCTAGAGTAAACCTAGAACTAACAAGGGCTGTACACTTGTTTCTCTCAGCCCATTATAACTTTCCCAAGTTTTCCTTTTGGACTCAGCATCATTCTAAACCCAAGGAGCCAATACTCAGTCTCTATTTCTCATCCAGTTTCATTGTCCTCATCCACAGCTTCTTCATGGCCTTCTTCATTTCAGCATTTCTCAGAGAGTAGATGACAGGGTTGAGGAGAGGGGTGATCACTGTGTAGAACATGGCCACCATCTTGTCTGCAGCCAGAGTGGTAGAAGGCCTCAGATAGATGAAGATGCAGGGTCCAAAGAACAAGATCACCACAGTAATATGGGACCCACAGGTGGAGAGGGCCTTCCACCGCCCCTCAGAGCTTCGGGTCCTCAGATGGCACAGGATAACAACATAGGAGGCTAGAAGAACCACAAAGCTGATCACAGACAGGGTCCCCCCATTGGCAACAATCAGCAGACCAATGAGGAATGTGTCAGAGCAGGCAAGTTTGAGCAGAGGAAGCAGGTCACAGAAATAGTGGTCGATCACATTGGGGCCACAGAAGGGCAAGTGGATGATGAGGAGGATTTGGGCAAGGGAATGCACAAAGCCTCCTAACCATGCTATTCCCACCAGGACAGCACATACTTGCTGGTTCATGATGGTGGTGTAGTTGAGGGGCTTGCAGATGGCCACATAGCGGTCATAAGCCATCACAGTGAGCAGAAAAATCTCAGTGCCACCAAAGAAGTGCATGAAGAAAAGCTGTGTCATGCAGCCCCACAGAGATATGGCTTTCCTTTCAGCCAGCAAGTCTGAGATAAGTTTGGGAGCTGTAGTAGAGCAGTAGCAGATCTCCACAAAGGACAGGGAACTGAGGAAAAAGTACATGGGGGAAGCAAGACTTCTGCTCATCATGACAGTGAGCACAATGAGGAGATTCCCCAGCACAACTGCTGTGTACAAGAGCAAAAATATCACAAAGCAAACTCTCTGCACCTCCAGATTTGGAGAAAATCCCAGAAAAATGAATTCAGTCACATTGTGTATGTCAGCCATGAAGTCACTGCCAGGATGTAGTAGTAATCTGAGTGAGGTAACCTGAAATGATACAGAACAAGAGACTCCTTCATTGAAATGAGTTGGCGAATTATGTAATAATCCATATCTTAGAAATTTGTGACATCAAAAGATTAGTAGGAGTTAGTTATATGTAGAAGAAGAAAGGAGCAGTCTGAGGAGGCAGAAGTTGTTGTCATATGCCGTCGAGTCAGACCCGACTCATAGCGACCCCTCCTTGGGTTTCCAAGGCAGTATCACTATGGAAGTAGATTGCCCATCCTTCCTTCCAAGGAGTGGCTGTTGGGTTTGAACTGCCAGCCCTCTGGTTAGCAGTCAAATGTCTTAGAAGAGTAAGTATAAATCTGTGGAAATGCATCATGTGTGTTGGAGTAAAAGGAAAAATAATGAAAAATAAAGCTGGAGTTAGTCTGGGACCAGTAGATGGCTGTTATGGACTTTGGGTATAACCTGTAGATGATGGGGAATCATTGGGAATGCTACTCAACTGGAAAGTAAAATCACTTTGTAGGTAAATATTGGACTAATTGAAATGTACCACCAAAGAAGAAATCTAATAGTGGGTTAATGCCTCATTGTACCATGTGGAGCAGCCAGAACAGCATTACTGTGTCCAATTTCAACGTTTTCCTATTGTCTTTGGAAGTTTTAACTGTCTTTTACTTGCAGCTTTTTCCCATCCCCCTTCCCTCTGCTTCCAAGGCTTACATATTAGCATTCTTGATATTCATTGGCCCATCTTACCTCTGTTTCTCCTCCTAATTCTCTCCTTCCACACTTGGCCACTTAATGACGTTCCCTTTCTAAGGGTCTAGCTCAGTCCCTACACAATTATTCTTCTTACTGGTGCCTTTATTTCTTTCATATGTATGCCCCCAATAACCACAAATGTCCAAACCACCCTTCAGTGCCCACTAATGCTCTGACACATCCTTCCCCACAGCCGAACCTTGCAGACACCTCAGAGCGTCACCACGGTTGCTAACTGAGTGATTTGCAAACCATCCAGTCCATGCTGAGTTCCAATAGGGTTTGGCCAAGGTGGCTGAGGTCTGCGTGTATCAGAATTGCTGCTCATACAGTGACTCCAGGCAGACCTAAGACCAGGACCCAGATGACTTCCACTCACACCACAAGCTTCCTCCCTTGAGTGATTGGGACAGGCTCAGGTGATTAAGAACCAACACTCAGAAGGAAATCACTGGTAGAGTTCATAATTACAGGATGGCAAGAGAGGGCAGAGAACAGCCCTAAATGCCCATGTCAACAGGGAAATTTTATCAAGAAGCCATTGATGGAAGGAAGAACTGCTAGGAGTCTGGACTCCAGGGTTCACATCCAAGATTCTTCATGTAATAGCTATCTGAAACCTAGAAAGTGATTTAACATTTCAGGGCCTCAGGTTTCTCACCATACGATGGAGATGGCAATATCTACCTCATAGGGAAATGTCCTAAATCCTACTCCCAGCCCCATTCCAAGATGTTAGTTTCCCAACCTCCATACTGCCTTGGATTCTTCTCCGAGATGGGAAATCCATCTCTCCAATTCATGGGCTCTTATGGTCAGTGGTTCCTCTTCATTCAGGGCATTGTAGAAGCGTAGCACTTAACACAATGAACTATAACTGTTTAATGTGGTCATCTGCCCCATTGGACTGTGAGTTTCCTGAGGACAGAGATACATCTTACTCACCACCACACTGCCTACTGAAGTGTCTGCCACAAATAGCATTCAGATCATGGAGATAAGGATCCCTGAGGGATGCAAATAGATAATGCACTTTCTGCTAACCAAAGGTTGGGCGTTTGATTCCACCCAAAGGTGCCTCAGAAGAAGGGCCTGGTGATCTACTTTTGAAAAATCAGCTGCTTAAAACCCTATAGTCACATTGCTCTTTTGACACACACAAGGTCCCCATGAGTGAGAATCAGCTCGGCAGCTGGTAATGTACATAAAGTGAATGCATTTCTGGGTCAACGTTGGGTATATATCTTCCCTTGTCTTGTTAGCACAGTTCTAGGTACACTGTAGAATTTCAGTAAATACTGAAGGAACAACACTCCCCCCAGGCCCAAGAACATGTCTTCTCCCATGCCTCCCACTGCGCTTTCTCCCACTGGGTGCCCAATCAATGGCTGGACAGAGTACTTTGTAAAGTGCCATGTGCTCCTTGCCACACTCTCACTGCTTTCAGAGCATAATAATAACCATTGCATGCAAAAGAAGCACATGGTCACAAAACAAAAACTCATCCCAGTGTCTCCATGGCTTTGCTGTTATCACCAGTTACATGTTCTATTCTGACAACAGAAATGCAAATTATCCTCTGAATACACCCCCATCTCAGGCTCACCCATGTTTCCCAGTAAACCCATCAAGAACCATCCAACCAAAATACCTGCCTTGCCAGAGTCACAAGGCTGAGAATCTGTTCCCCCTGCAGCCTCAGACTCAGGACGCTGAAACTAAGCCACTGGGGTCTCAATTCCACCCCATATAAAACAAGAACAAAGGAGATTTCCCTTCGCTTTGCCTCCCAGGTGCTCTACAGAGAAATAAGTATTCTGGCAGCTTAGCCTTGAGTTGAAACTGCGCCAGAGACACTGGGGAGAAGGTGTGATGGTCAGGTGAGGGAAGATAGGTCCCCAAAGAGCCATACCCTTTTCCCCTTCCTGATCAGGGAGCTTTCCTCAGGGGAAGCAGTACCTGGTTACTAAAAATCTCAGACTTCCTTGTAGGGAGCAACTTCAGAAATAAACAGAATATATGAATCAATTAAATTCACCCACTGTTCCCAGGGCACTTACTCTGTATGGGGCTCTAGGCTTTGCAGAGGTTAATTGGATGTAACTCCTGCTTATCGTGAGGTCAAGCATGTGGCTTTATAGAAAATGTCACTACTCAAAAGGATGAGACAGGAATAGGGACAAGTATCAGGAAACCAAAATATTACTTCTCTTTGCCTTTGTTGTGGACAAGATTATAAATCAATAGCTCTCCACTGGGTGTAATTTGTCCCGAGGAGATATTTAGGAATGTCTGGGGATGTTTCAGTTCTCACAACCTGACTTAGTGGGGAGGAGGGGAGGAATGGGCGTGCAGGTGCTATTGGTGCAGAGGTGAAACCCAAGGAAGCTGCAAAATATCCTGCCATGCACATGGAAGCCCCCTGTAACAAAGGATTATCTGACCCAAGATGTCAACAGTGCTGCAGTTGAGATGCCCTGTGTGGATGAAACAGAATTCACTCCGAATAGATAGTTATTAAACCTGGATGTTGAGTACAAGGGAGTTCATTGTACTGCCTTAATCACATCTGTATATGTTTGAAATGTTCCTACAATAAAAGGTTTTCCAAAGCCAAAGAGTTTTTTGTAAAATTAGACACACTCTGCACAAATGTTGGTCACAAAAATTATTGATTCAGTCTTGATTGAAATTAGAGTTGAAACAAGATTGCCACAAGTTACAACTATGACTCATAGCAAAATTTTCATGAGAGATTTTAAGATAATATATTTGACACAGTTGCTTTCAAGAATGCAGAAGCTGAATTAATTATCATCCTTTGAACAGAAAGAAATACACGAAAGAAGTTTAGCAAATATTACATAAAATCTCCAAAGTTTTAGTTAAACCCAAATTTACTTTGTAACACATCATCATGAAGTTGAGTTTCTGTGAAGGTCTGTCTGGCAGCGTTTTTAATATTGAAATATCTGATAAGGAAACATAGGAAAATAGATGTTTAAAGGTGAATCTATGAATGGTTGCTATAGGAAACAACATCTGCTAAACATCATGGTAGAAAACTGTTTATGCACCTAAAGTTATAAAGTTTGTCAGAAAAGGCTGATTTTATTTCCTAATCTGTGAAGATCAACACATTGAATATGACTTCACTTCTCTAGTTCTAATTAAACTCAACCACTATAAAAAGCATGCAGATTTTTTAATTAAGTTGTGAAAAGTGATTTTGCAAGTAAAATTTTAAAATGACTCTCTTGATTTCTGCTTTTTAAAAATGGAAA